TGTCATTACACCACAATATGAAAGGATATTTTCCCCTTTCCCTCTATCCTGGACACCTCTGTAAGTTGGACACATTATCGTGGAACCGCAAGTGTCCAAGTTAGAGAGGTTTTACTGTATTACAGTAATTTATGTAATGAATTAGTAACAGTTAAGAGTTATTTTCATCTGTTGTTCATTATGTATAGCAGTTGTCCATTAGTTTATTTAAACTGAATCATACAGGATTGAGATTGTGCTATATAAGATTTCATACATGCACAATTAATATATTAGCTTTTAAATTTTGTCTGTGGGATGAGTTTTATTGCAGTTGGTACATGGTTTCTGAGTATAGTTTCTGGGAAGAGTCAAGACTTTTGTGGAGAACCACATTTCATTGTCCCTTATTAAATTACCGAAGAGACTGGCTGAAGTGATTATGTCTTTCACTTGTATTTAGGAGGTGCCTGATTCAGATCTTAGCCAGGACACTTATTATCCTGAAGGTGTTCCAAATTTTCAGGACTCTTATCCTGAGCGTGTTTGTGTTTTTCCTCAGTCCCTCCAGGAAAATGTCAATAGTATCCTGTAATAGGAAATGTCCATTTCCCAGTCCTTTCAAGTTTAAGTTTATATCCTGTCATTCAACACTAAGTAACCACTACACGTGGTATATTGTTAACTAGCCTATGATCCTTCCAAAATACATGATAAAAGAATCTGTTGTGAACTTTTCAGCTTATAAATAGCCTACACATTTCCATATGTACAACCAATGAGATGTTTTTGTTTTCTCTACACTTTGATAATAAACAAGTGTCTTTCTTAGTGTAACACACTGAAACATAAAAACCGTGTATTGTCTGCAGATTGTGATACAAACTTCAGGACTATTCCATGATATGGATAAATGGGTTCTGTGTGGGGCTTTCTTAACATTTTTTTTTTGCGAGTAAGAATTGTCCTAAAAACTTTATCAAACACAGTAATCACTTCTGTCTTGGAAATTGAGATGGAAGTTTTCTCTGAAATGTTAGTAACTACCTACAAGACTACACAGCATCATAACCCAGATTACCACAGTCTAAATAATAAACATGATACATAACAAACAACATACAGTTAAAAGTTGTCTCCAATCTGGTTCCTAAGTTGTAAACAAGTTTGGCAGGCTGTTGCTAAGACTTGTGAAGATGAAGCTCCTCACACCTTGATTCCCTCAATTTGTGTAGGGGCATGACTTTTTCTCCTGAGGTAGGCATCTGTTCTGACAAGGAAACACAAGTGGGTCTAGCTGATTGAACTATTTAGCAACATACCATGTTTATAAATGAGTGGATGGAAGACTGATACAGTCACATTTTTCACTTCCAAAACACATATTTTATCAGAGTATGTAAGTGCAAACTTCCAAAATCTTGTTTAGTGTCTTTGGTGAGAATTTAACCTTTTCAGTAGTAAGATTTCTACAGTTTCTTTGAGCAACAGAATATACAAAAAGTAGGCTGTCATTGCTTTCTTTATTTCATACCTGCAAAACCAAAAAATTATAAAATACTGAATTCATTTCAGTTAATAACTAAAAATAGAGTGACATGTCGTAGATCAAAGGAAATGTGTCCCCACAGCTCACATTTATTTGTACATGAAAGTATCTACATATTCATCAAAGCGTTAAACATTGGGATATCACAGTTCCTTTTAGTAACTTGATGGTGTATAAATTTGAAGTGCTAAAATGTTAAATTTTCTCCCAAATATGTTTCAGCCACACCAACTATGGGCTAGTTTCAGATATGTATTGTGCAAATATGCTAGCTTCCTCTTTAAAGAACCTCTTAATTCTGAAGCAATGCTGAGATCAATAGTCACTTAACATCATTCATTGACTGGGTAAGATGCAAGTTGCAGCCGGCACTAGCAAAATAAAGCTAATTGACCTGTGAATTCACTCATCAAGCAATATTAGAATTCCAGCAAATGTCAAGAACAGTGATCTAAAGAAGGTTTAGTTACAAGGGGGGTGTGTATCAGGATGTGTTGATATCACTGGTACTTGTTCTCAGAATACTTACTTCAACTTCTGATAGCTTAGAAAAAGTGAATCACAATAGTAGTGGATCGGGATGTTAATGTAAGTTAATTAGAATTAGTGGGATGAAGGCTTTTTCATCATTTCTGTTGAAATTGACAGTACTGAATGAGGACACTTTACGTACATACAAAACTGTTTGTTTGCACATAGTTCTTAAGATTAGGAAGTATAATGTTTCATGTCTTTTATCTGCTTATAATTGAAACAATCATTGGCAGATTGTATTGTGTTTGATTAAGTGTCTGATGTATTCAGAAATTCTATTTTTGATAAGAGAATGACTTGACACATTGCTGTTGGACATCGTACCCTGCTGTTGGCATTATCCCAAATAGATTTGGAAACTTCTTTATCAGTTAACCCTGGACAGTCTCCAGCTTTTTATTCATATTAATTGGTGATTTAAGTAAGTTAATTGTTAGAAATATACAAAATTATTCATTTGTATTATGGGCACCATGTACCAAAGTTATTGTTAATTTAGTTGTATGTAAATTTTGGTAGTAGCATTGTAGCCTATATTCAGCACTATGCAAGACAATGTTACGTTAATATTGGAGTCTCATTGTGGATATTGAATATCCTATATTAATCACATTTCTGGCTGTAAATAATACTGAGAAAATTGCGCATACATCCATGTGTCGAAATTGTGATTATTGTTGGTCAGATTCTTGATATTAGTGCTTAATAAACAGAATCAGTGGCAAGATTGTCTGTTTAGGAGACACTTCAAAATAGTATTTTTTCTTTTATAAACCAGTTGTTTTATTAAATGGTATTGCATAAGAGATTGAGGTTACAAAGTGGTGAAAATGTAGATGGGTAGTAATCTCCTTTGTCAGGTTTGAGAATATTAAGGTGTTACATTGTCTGAAAATGATGAACTACCCATAAGACTACTTGGTGTCACAACCCAGTAGATCACAGTTCATCACACTGTATAAAATTATTCCAAGTATATTGAGGGATAATGTAACAAGATGATATATTACTGGTGCATCATGTGCCAGTGATTTTGTTATGTATGTAGGGCTGCAATCTCTTTTTGTTTTGTTCATCAGATGCAGAGGTGGTAGTGTAAATAATGTAGTCAGTACAGACCATCATACAGACATAGGAAAATAACATATAGAACAGAGAAACAGTATTTATATAATGTTTTCTTTGATAGGACTGAAGTCTGAGATTGAAGTTTGTGATGGAAACTTGGCTGAAAATATCCCTTCTCCTCTGTTTTTTTGGTTCCATGAAGGAATTTCGTCCTTCTGAGCCATTTGTTACGCATTACCTCCTTGGAGAATGGAAGAACTTCACTTCAGAACAGGTAATCTTTTTATTAATGTTTTGCATCTAGAATATAAGTTCTTTTTAAAATACATTTTTAATATTGCTATGTGAAAAGAAGAAGTCTCATAGAGCAGTTGCTTGTGTACTTGTAACAAGATATCTCCAAACTTCATTGGCCACAGCAGATACACACAAATTGCTGGCCAGCCAACTGAGGTATGGGGATGGATGGGAAGTGATAGTACATGAGATGTCTTGGATGTCTTGCTTGCTCCTTTCATCTTCCCTCTTTTACCATGATATAACTTAGGCTTGCAGATATTTTATGCCCAGTATACTGTTTTCTTTCCCCTTGCCAGTAATAAATTATGAATGAAAGCTGTGATCTTCATCACAGTTGATTTGATATGAAGATGCTTTTATGAAGATGTATGAAAAGACAGTTATTTGACCTTCTGGATTGAAAATAGGACATAATATGCAGAAGTATTATGTGATGGTAGGTGTTTGAACGTTGTACATCTTTTATTGTGTTTTAATGTCTGAGATTTGAGTTTTCTAAAGGAAAGTTAAGGAAAGCACATATTTTGATAGTTACATGTGCATTATCACTTCTTTGCCACACTTTGTATCAACAAACTTACACTTTTGTTTTCCTTATTTGTTTGAATTAATCTGAAGGTTTTTATGATTTCATTTTTAGGTTAATCAAGATATCTTCCCAATTGGAACATATGCATATCTAGCAGAACTTGTGATTGTGTTCCTAGTTACTGACCTTCTCCGTTACAAGCCCATCATTGTTCTGGATGGTATATTTGGAGTTTTAACATGGAGCTTGCTGATTTGGGGGAAAGATATTCTAACAATGCAGGTAATAAAATTTCATAGAATTCCCTCTGTTTACATATTTTGTATTTCTCTATAGATTATATGAATATTCATAAAAATATTGATGTAATTGACATATAATATTATGCCAGCCAGTACTGTTAAGCCACAGTTTTAAGTTGTCAAGAAATCCAAGTAATTGATTTCTTATTTTTAAATTTCACTTGTAACTGAAAATAAATGGAGGTGACAATTGTATCAGTATGAATGTCACATATTAATTTTAAAATTTGTTACAAGTAACATATTGAATTATCAGTATTAACAACTCTAGTACAGATTTGAATATCTGATGAATTATTTCTGTTTGAAGTTACACAAGTCTGTTTATTACTTGCATTAAATTTTGTGTCCATTTCTGAATGAAAAATTGGGTGTCATGCTGATATCAGACATGAAACCTCCTGCTGCCCTTGTGATTGCTTTACTATTGAACTACATGGACAGAGCATATGTTTTATATTTGTTGCCATATTTATAACAAACTTTCTAGTACTACTGTATGGAAGGAGGAATTTACAGTTCTTTTGTATCTTATATCCATTTTCCACTCGTAGGTCATTCTGAAGAATGCATCCAAGTCCAAGGCCCTGTGTAATATTTCATAAGTGCTGATTTTCTTAGTGGTTGGGAGATTTTGGCCCCTGAACCCAATCCCGAGCCCCTTCTTGGCTGTACACAACTGCTTATTCAGTATATTTGCAGAGCTACACTTCATATCTGGGGGCTTTCTTCTCCATGCACTATGCTATAGTGATAATGGACCCAACATTTAAAATATAGCAACATAATGAGATGAAAGTGAAATCAGGCCCGAGATATAATGAACAGTAGCAGTGAAGGATTTTGGAATAGAATAAGAAAGGAAATTCTAGCCGGGAGGGCTAGAATCTGACTTCATTTTGAAATTTAAAATATAATAAATCTGGAAGTGATCTGTCACAGAACTCACAGAAGCTAGAATATTTTAATGTTGGATGTCCTCTATATTTCTTCACACCAGAAATCTTCAGTAACTTATCAGGGTTGTTATTGTAATAAAAATATGCTATTACTTGAAAAGTTAATGTTGAATGTAAAATGTGTTGCTGTGTGATATTAAATGTAATATATTCACATCTTCACTTTTATTTTGTATGAAGTATCATATTTATTGTAGATAATGGAGATCTTCTATGGATTCTTCATGGCAGCAGAGGTTGCATATTACACATACATATATGCCCAAGTAGATAGGGAGCACTACCAACATGTGACCAGTCACACGAGAACAGCTTACCTTTTTGGCCGTGCCCTGTCTGGTGTCGTTTCCCAAGCTCTTGTATCAACTGGCACGTTAGACTATTACCAACTTAATTTCATTTCTCTTGCAGGTAGGCTCACTATATTCATTTTACTTTAATTGGTATTTCTCAGTTCTTGATAGTTCTATAGTGTAGCATCCTGGTATGTTGCCATTTTATTAGTTTCATATAGACCTGAAAATGGCTATATAGTATCCAAAATGTGTAGTGTAACAGCAACAACAACAAGACAAATATTTCACAACAGTGAAAAGTGTAGAGGAAATGGATGTGAGGAGTGAATGTGTGATGGTGCATGAAATGTGAAAATAATCAAATAGTTATTTCTTTTCATTTCACTTTTTTGTGTCCTTTCATACCATGAGGTTTATAGCATAAATAAAATTATACCAACAATGTAAAGAGCTAATATCAGTTGTTATTAATAATAAACACATTCCATCCTCAAAGGGTTGCTAGATTTTCCATTTCAGATTTGTTTACAACTTTTGTAATAGACTAGTTATTGAACTTATATACTCATATATTGAACTGTGTTATTGCTTCTGGTGACCATTTTCTGAAGTATATTCATTAGTTAAAGCTAGTTGTTATTTTAATGCAAAAATCTGTTTTAGATCAAATACACACTTTTTGCATATGTTGTATATGCTGTTAAATTGAGAAACACTGGTAGTCACAATTTCTGCTTATTGCATTGTTGTATGTAGCTGTGTAGTGGAGAGATGAAGAGATTTGAACAAAATGTTACATAATTACTTACATGAATTTGAACTTGTGTGTGTGTGTGTGATTTTATTGCGTTATGAATGTTGCCTTTATGCTTGCATGGGAGTTTACATTGATTTATGTTAGTTCGGTAGAATGATGTGGCAAAGTTGGAGTTTAGGTTCTCACAGCAGTGAGTATGAAAACGGCTGTCTTTTGGGTTGTTGCATCACATAGTCTGGTAGACGTTTACTGATGTTTTACAGATGATCATCCTAATGATGGATGCAGCTAGCACATCTGAAACACCAGTAAACGTCTACCAGACTATATGGTGCAACAAGCCAGAAGACAGATGTCTTTGTGCGGCACAGTTGTTTGGAATGACAATAACAATTCAAGTTGTTAGTGAAGAAATTAAGACCAAAGACGAGATTACATATAATGAGTGGTTGCTACCTTTTAGTTTAGAATATTATGCCTTGCTGCCTCCAAACTCAGACTACAGAGATTAAAACATAGAAAACTGTGATCTTACTTAATTTGGTGTGAACCTTGTTGTCTTCAATAAAAGTGAAAATATCAGTTGAGAGTGATTGAGAACAGGATGTTGAGATAATATTTGGACCTAAGACAGAGGAAGCAACAGGAAGTTTGAGATGGTTAAGGTATGTAGCATACATGGAAAATGTGAGAAATGCTCACACAGTTTTAGGTGAAAAATATATAGTGAAGTAAGACCATGGCACTGGTGGAAAAAATAATAAAATAGTTCTTGAATAGAATGGGAAGGTGTGAACTGAATTCTTCTGGTACAGTTTTGGGTCAAGTGGGGGATGTTGAGAATACAGTAATTAATCTTTTAGTTTCATAAATGATAGGGAATTTCTTGTCTGCTGTATGATTTTTAATGTCACAACGACCACTCTGAATTTTGAATATCTATGCTGTTTTAATGGTGTTGCCAGATTCCTTTTTTAAGAAAATTTTATCATTTTACACAACAATATTTTATTAATTCAAACTTAGTAATGAAACTATGAGTATGAAATGTCTAAATAATAGTGTCATACTTTTTTTAGCTGTAAGCATAGCAACACTCTGGGCATTCTTCCTTCCATCAGTGCAACATAGCGTCTACTTTTATAGAGAAAACATTATAACAGATGGGATTGCCGATGCTGAAAACCTTGCAGCTGTCACAGAGGATTCAGGTAAGAGAGAAAGGTAGCTAAGTAGGTAAAATATGTTTTCTATACTTTCTACCAGTTACTGCAGAAAAATATACGATTTTACTTGATTGTGTAATTTTTTAGTGTTTTCTATTAGTGCAAGAGATATTTATTTCATTTGAATTGCTGAAATGTTTTATTCCTATTAAATATGTTATTGGCAAAACTTATTGTATGTATTACAAAGTTTACCATAAAAAATACTGTTTCTAGGATAGAAAGTTAGTTATTAGATTTTAAGCTGTCTGAAAGGGAATACATTTACTGACATTTTTACAGAAACATCCTCTCTTGTAGAGGCTTATGAACTGATTTATTTTTATCATTTTCATTTGTATGTTGATAATTTTTATTTCAGTTGTACCTTTGACTGTACCAGTTAAAAATGCCACCACTTTTGTGATTGAAACAAAGCAGCCTACTCAGGACACTTCAGAAATAAATGGCAGGTTACAGGATACTAGGAGAATTGAAAGTCGGTGGAGAAAAGCCTATTACTACCTGTGGAAAGATTTCACTACTTCTTACACAAACCTATATGTACTGAAGTGGTCTTTCTGGTGGGCACTTGCAACTTGTGGTTTTTTGCAGGTAAATTTATTTTATATATGAAAAGGACATAATACATGTTGAGGAATAGAACATCAGTTTTTAATTTTTTCTCACCAGTGGAAGGTTTCAGTGAATTGTT